ACCACAGTTATGCCAGATATTAGCATTGGAGAAAACTGGGTAAAAAAAAAAGGCAGAGCCTTTCTGTAGAGTTTTTTTTTTTTTTTTTTTGCAGCTTTCTATGGCCTTATAATTATTCCCTCTAAAAAAGAGAGTACATAAAAGGGAGATTGTGTATTCTTGTCAAATACATGTAAAACAGTGACAGAAACTGACCATGTGTTAAGCCTCAAGAACACTTTTAAATGTTCAGTAAGCAGAAATCATACAAATCTTAATCACTGACCACAATGCAGAAATTACTTAATAAAATATTGACAATGAAAAACAACAAAAAAAGAAAAAAGTACACTTCTTAATAATTATTGAATTAAGAATGAAAACAGACCAGGAACAGAGGCTCACATGGATAATCCCAGTATTTGAGGATGCCCGGGTGGGTGGAAGAATCACTTGAGCTTGGAAGTTTGAGATGGTCTGAGCAACATGGTGAAACCCTGTCTTTACAAAAAAATACAAAATTAGCCAGGCACGGTGGTGTGCACTTATAGTTCCAGCTACTCGGGAGGCTGAGGCGGAAGGATCACTTGCCCCAGAGGTCAAGGCTGCAGAGAGACATGATCATGCTATTGCACTGCAGCCTGGGCAACAGAGCCAGATCCTGTCTCAAGACCAACAAAACAAAACAAAAAAGAAAAAGAAAAAAAAACAATTGCAAACTATTTTAAAATTAACAATAACAAGAACACCATGATATGTCTATGCACAGTGGCGTTCTGAAGGAGTAGCGTTCACTACGTTTACAAGAAAACAGGAAAGACTAGAAATAATTGAGTCATGTTTCCACCTTGAGAAGCTAGAAAAAGAAAAATAAAATAAGCTCAAGAAAGGAATTAGTAAACATGCAAGCGTACATTAATGAGATCAAAAGCAAACAACAGCAACAAAAATGTAGAGTTGGTAAACAGAGCAAAGGCACGTAAACATCAAAATGTCAAAGGACAGGATGTGGCTTTAAGAGCCTTAAAAAAGGGAACGGTATTAAAACACCAAAATTTTACAAACCCATAGGAAACAAATGGTTTCCTCTAAAAATAAAAATGACCAAAATTAGAAAAAGAAAAAAATGGAAGTACCATACAGACCCATCTCCACAAAAATAAATGGAAAAGACATGCCAAGATTTGCACCTGAAAACAGCTCCAGGTCCAGGAGCTTTCCTGGCAAATTCTACAGGTATTTGCAATTTACATAGGCAGTGTCAGAGGATACAAAAGGAGAGAAAGCTGCCTTCAGCTGAGAGTTAAAATAGCAATTGCAAAAGTTTAAAAACTAAAAGACTGCAATTAAGCTAGTTGCAGATTGAATTCTGAGTGTATCAAAAGCATAATACCTCATAACAACTAGAGTTTCTCCCAAGAATGCTAGAATGGCTGAAGTGTAGAAAATCCATTGATACACCTTATTATATTAACAGATTAATATAGAAAAATATAAGATTATCTCAATAAACACCAGAACATCGTTTGCTATAATGGCACCCCATATATACAACCATAGCACAAATTCTTAGACTTATTTGATAATCTCAAGCAAAGGAAGTCCTAAGCAAGACATGAAATCCAGAAGCCATTAAATAAAAAATTCGTTCATTTTACCTGTGTTAAAAAAAAAATTGCAGGGCTTTTATATGATGTGTACCTCACCAAAGCAAGATGTTAACAGTAGGGGAAACTGGAGATTTTGGGGGGAGAGAGGGAATACAAGAACTCCGAACTTTCCATTCCATTTTTCAGTAAGCCTAAAACTGCCCTACAAAATAAAGTTTATAAGCAACGAGGAACAAAAAACAAAAAATTAGATAAAACACTTGAAATATATTTGAGACAAAGGCTTAACACCTTAATATATAAAGAAACCAGTGTTGAAAAATGCACGCTTTGAATGAAGAGGCCTTCCAGACAGGCTTTGTGTGAGCTACATGGCTGTTTACTCACCTGGGTGCAGGTGGGCTAAGGCCAAAAAGGGCATTAGCAAAGGGCAGTGGGGTAGGAGTTGGTTTTATAGGTTTGGGTAGTCTTTTTGGGGGGGCGGGGTGTTGCAGAGTAAGTTAAGTTACAGTGGTGGGATTGGGTGAGAGGTATTTACGTTATCATAAGAACAGGTAAGATGGCAGGGTTGGGTGAGGGGCTTGTCCGGGGAAGCTCCGCTGGGCGACCAGGGGCAATGGCGAACGCAGGCAGCGGGTGGGAGACTTCAGCTGTGGCAAGCAGGACTTCAGACTGTCAGGCTCCAGGCTTGCATATGGAAACCTGACAATCAGGACCACACACAGTGGTGGCTCACGCTTGTAATCCCAACACAGGAGGAACGCTTGAGACCAGGAGTTTGAGGCTGCACTGAGCTATGATGGCACCACTGCACTCCAGCCTAGGCAACAGAGCTAGATCCTGTCTCTTAAAAAGAAAAGAAAAAGGCCAGGCGCTGTGGCTCATGCCTGTAATCCCAGCACTTTGGGAGGCCAAGGCAGGCAGATCACGAGGTCAAGCAATTGAGACCATTCTGGCCAACATGGTGAAACCCTGTCTCTACTAAAAATACAGCAACTCATAGGAGCTGAGAAGGCCCCTGGTTGACAGCAAACGAGGAAGCAGGGAATCTTAGTCCTCCAACCACAAGGAACTGAATTGTGCCACAACCACATGGGCATGAAAGAGAACTCCTGGCCTCTGATGAGAGTCCACCTCGATTTTAGCCTGTGAGACCTTGAGCAGAAGCCCTTACCACATGCACCCAGACTTCTGGCCTGCAGAGCTGTGTGTTAAATGGTGTTGTTATAAGCCACTAAGTTGGTAGTCACTTGTTACACAGTACTATAGGTTTAATATTTTCCCCTCCAAAATTTGTGTTAACATTTAATCTCCAATGTGACAGCATTGAGAGGTGGGACCTTAAAGAGGTGATTGGGTCATAAGGGTTCTGTTCTTCCAAATGGATTAACCCATTCATGGATTCATGGTTACTAGATTAATAGGTTATCATGGAAAGCGGACTCGTGCCTTGATAAGAAGAGAAAGATCTGAGGGAGCACACTGCATGCTCAGCCCCCTCTCCGTGGGATATCCTGTTCAAAAATTAGCTGGGTGTGGTGGTATGCACCTGTAATCCCAGTTAGGAAGTTGAGGCAGGAGAATTGCTTGAACCCGGGAAACGGAGGTTGTAGTGAGCCAAGATCACGCCATTGTACTCCAGCCTGGCGACAGAGCGATGCTCTGTCTCAAAAAAAAAAAAAGAAAAAAAAAAGAAAAGAAAAGAAAAAGAAAATAAGGATATATACTATCTGTAACAATATTCCAACTGTACTGAGGTCCTATCCAATGCAATAAGATGGGAAAAATACAAATGTTGGAAATGACATAAAAGAATTACCACTGTTACGAATGATATAATTTTCCATTTAGAAAAATTCAGAAGAGAATCAACCGAAACATTATTAGAACTTTCTTTTTATTTTATTAGAATATTTATTTACTTATTATTAGAAGTTTAGCCAGGTTGCCAAGTAGAAGATTCATATACAGAAATCAATAGTTTTCTCATGCAACTGCCAAAACCAATCTAAAAGTGCAACTGAAACATTCAAAATAGCCACAGAATTTCAAAATATACAGGAATAAACATGGAAAAGAAACACATTAAACCCATGTGAGGAAAATGATAAACTTTGCGGAAGGACACAAAGTAAATTCGAACAAAGGGGAAGATGCAGCATGAAGGTGTTGGTTTTCCCATAAATTAAAAGCTAAATTAGGGGAACTGCCTATCACGTTGGCAATGTTATTTTCATTGTTGTTTGTTTGTTTACTTTACAAGATTATTCTTAAATTCATATACAGAAAACATGTCCAAGATAAACAAGAGCATGTTGCTATGGAGTGGTGGGGCCATTGCTCAGTCTATAGAAAGGAAACAGGGAGGCCACTGCATGGGAAAAGATACTCAACTTCACTAATAATTAGAGAAATACAAAATAAGAAAATAACAAGGTACCTTTTTTCCCCCTTAAATATCCTGAAATATTTAAGTGATAATATGAGAAGGGAAAAAACCAGAAATTCACAGGTACTGTTGGTAGGAGTTCAACTGGTCCAGGCTGTTTCGAAGGCAATGGCAGTATTTCTCAACACTTCGCGCATGACTGTCAACCAAGCACCAACGAAGCAACTTTTCAGAGTCTACCTACTCCAGAGGTGCAAGGAAACATGTATCCAGAGAGGCTGTGCCATTGTGTCTAACAGGAAAAAAACTAGAAATGATTCAAATGTCTATTAAGATAATTATTTAAAACAGAGTGAATTTGTATTTGGGAATATAGGCAGTGATTTTTTTAAAAATCAGCCTATTCATACTGACACTGCAAGAATTCCAACACACATTATTAAGTATCAAAAGAAAGCTGTGGAAAGCCAGGCACAGTGGCTCATGCCTGTAATCCCAGCACTTTGGGAGGCTAAGGTGGGCAGATCACTTGTGGTCAGGAGTTCAAAACCAGCCTAGCCAACAAGGTGAGAATTCATCTCTACTAAAAATACAAAAATTAGCCTGATGTGGTGGTGCATGCTTGTAATGCCAGATACCTGGGAGGCTGAGGCAGGAGACTCGCTTAACCCAGGAGGCAGAGGTTGCAATGAGCCGAGATTGTGCCACTGCACTCCAGCCTGGGAGACAGAGTAAGACTCTGTAAAAAAAAAAAAAAAAAAAAAAAAAGAGAAAGAAAAGAAAGTTGTAGAATATTTTGCACTGTGTAACATAGAATGTTCAAAATGTTATGGTCTATGCACATGTATATGATTGTAAATGCATATTAAAAACAAGTGGTTAACTTACTTCTGAGGACATACAAGATTGGAGATTTGATGAAATCAAGGAGGACTTTTGTTTCCTCTGTATTGTTTGAAATTTCAAAATGAAAATGTGACCATATATTAAGGATGCACTTTTAAAAATTCCCCAAAAGTAAATGTGGCAATCTGAAAAGTTTATTTACACATGAGTATGTCATCACATATTTATTTCATAATGATATGAATGATTTTTAACCTTATAAAAATCATAAAAGTACTCAAAAAATTAAATAGTAGTGTTGGATCAGAAAACATATGCTTTTAGGATGTCTGATGAAATACCAACATTACAAAATTCATCAAGAATCTTCCGGAAGGATTAGGACTCCAGGGAAGAAACAACCTTTCTGTCAATAGCGAACCTGACTTTGGGTTTCTTTTTCAAAAACTCTGTATAGCTTCGCTCAGGAAGAAACACAAACGTGTTCCACATCTCTTTATAGCATCGTGGAAAGCGTCTGAAACTTGAGACCACCACGGCTTCTTTATACACATATGATATTTGGTTATTTGAAAAGCCATCAAGATAAGATGGAACATAGTCACATGCCCAGAGATTAAAATTTCTTGAAAAGTGTTGCCTCTTATCTGGAGAGATCTTCTTACGTCCCAGGCCCTGGAGAAGAATTGAAGAATTACAAGATTAGAAGGAAAATATTCAAGGTCACATAGTTTTGTTTTTTTGTTTTCTGAGATGGAGCCTCGCTGTGTCACCTAGCCCAGAGTGAAGTGGCGCCATCTCAGCTTACTGTAACCTCTGCCTCCCAAGTTCAAGCAATTCTCATGCCCTAGCCTCCTCAGTAGCTGGGACTACAGGTACGTGTCACCACGCCTGGCTAAGTTTTTGTATTTTCAGTAGAGACAGGGTTTTGCCATGTTCCCCAGGTTGGTCTTGAACTCCTGAACTCAGGCAGTCTGTTTGCCTCAGCCTCCCAAAGTGCTAGGATTACAAGCGTGAGCCACTATGCCCAGCCTCAAGGTCACATAGTTCTGAGGTCTTTCTGAAAATCAGTTACATGATATGTATATGTTTAAATGCACCCTAGCACGACTGTCTCGAGGTCTCCTTTACCAGCCTGTTGAAGGCTGCGCATTGACACTCACGACACCCTGATGGGGTTCTGTTACTGTCCTCACAGTCTTCCGGTGCCACCAAGGGGCCTGGGCTCTCAGGGACATGGAAGGCAGAACCAGCGGGAATGCAGCCAGAAACAGCCCGTAGGCCAGCCCCAATCCTACGGACCAACATAGGTTCCTACACCCCCGCACCCTGATCTTCCCCACTCCCCAGGATTGAGCTGCCTCCCCAGCACTCAGTGGGACTGATGATGACTCTTTCTCTGGAAAGTCTGAGGAGGCCAAATTCTTTCCCAACCCTGAGGGCTCCCCTGAAGGACCTGGCACCTTTGGGTCCTGACCCACAGGCTTCCTCATTCACTCTCAGCACCTTCCGTGTAAACATGAGAATTTCTGTGTACTCAAAATTGTAAATTCTGTTTGATCACAACTAGGCAAAAACTAAGAAAGGAAACACTATACTGATGTGACTGAAAGGAAATGGACACATTATACAGACGTCACATCAGTAAAGTGAGATTGCCTGTGATGAAGGTCAGCTTCACAGCAGGAGACACAAAGCACATTCCAATTAGAGCGATTGGAAAACAGTCTGTAAAGAGACTATATATGTGTGGGTATGTGTAGGGACACCCCAAGGGGCTGTGCAGTGGCTCCAGGACTGAGGGGACTGGGGAGGAATGTAGTCCATGTAGACCAGCCCTCAGAACCAGAGTGGGGAGAACAGGAGGGGCGTGGCATTGGAGGGACAGGTGTATGATGCGGGGCACAATGTCCAAGTCGGCTTCAAAAGAATTTCTTGGCCGGGCACAGTGGCTCATGCCTGTAATCCCAGCACTTTGTGAGGCCCAAAGCAGGCAAATTACCTGAGGTCAGGAGTTCAAGATCAGCCTGGCCAACGTGGCAAAACCCTGTCTCTACTAAAAAATACAAAAATTAGCTGGGCGTGGTGGTGAGCACCTGTAATCCCAGCTACTCGGGAGGCTGAGGCAGGAGAATCGCTTGAACCCAGGAAGTAGAGGTTGCAGTGAGCCGAGATTGTACCACTGCACTCCAGCCGGGGAGACAAGAATTAAAACTCTGTCTCAAAAAAAAAAAAAAATTACTTGAGGATACTCCAGCAAAAATAAAAAACAAGTAAAAGAAAGGGATGATGAACATTGGGGAAAGAGCTGCCAGGAAAGTAGCAAGTAAAATTTATGACAAAGTCTAAATGTTTGCTAATAATGTGACCATGAAATGTATTGAACTGTACAAATTCACAAAAAGGAAAGGAAGGAAGGAGGGAAACAGAAGGAAAAGAATCTGCAGCTGAAACTCCAGGATTTCAACGTGATTAGGGAAATCAGGACAACATCTTTGAGCTCCCAGTGGAAGTCCAAAAATGGCACCAACAGGAGTTGTGGGAAAACAACCCGGGCAGCAGCACAGCAGCCCCGGAACAGGGAACGAGTGAGATAAGGCACACTGGAAGACTTACCTTATTCTTGGAGAAAGCTATAGTTATTAATTTTTATACATAGAGTAATATAGTATTAATACAATTACCAAATATTTATACTTGAGAGTAAGTACTCGTAGAATATCAGAAGTCAGAGTGAGCAAATAAATTCAATCAATCTAGCAAAGTCAGGAGAGGAAGAAAAAAGAAACAAAATATAAGCGTAGTAAATAGGCAACATAGAAGTGAGATGGCAGAAATAAAACCAAAACCATAAACTGTCATCATAATGTGAATAAGCTAAATTCTCATATAAAGAAATAGATTCTTGGATTTTTTTTAACTATGCTGTATTCTATTTATAATAGAAAACAAATGCAAAGTAAAAATGACTATAAATTATGGAGACAAAGGAATGGACCGTAACGCCAAGAACAAACATTAGCAAAATGAGAGTGAGAGTGGCCATGCTACCATCACAATGTCGATAGAATTTATGGCTAAAGGCATCACGCATATAGAGAAACACTTCATACTGATAAATGGCGAAAACCACCATGAAAATTAAACAACAAAAATTTTTTATGCAGAAAGATATGGTATTAAACTATATAAAGCAAAAAAGAACTTTAGAAGCTCAAGAATAATCTTAGAGGCAGAAATTGACAGATCAGTACTAAAATTTAAAAAAGGATATGAAAGATTTAAATAACATAATTACAGTCTTAAATTAATAAGTATAAAGAACTTTGTAACCAACAGGGGGAATATATATTATTTGTAAACAGCCATGACACACTTGTTAATCACATACAAGACAACGAAGAAAATCTCATAATTCAAAATGTGAAGGTCTTAGACAATATTCTTTAAAATTTACCATAACCTATACAACTAGATATTAGCAACGAACAGATTATTTCTAAAACTCTAACCATATAGATAATTAAAACAGCCTTCTAATTTTTCTTAGGAAAGGGAATTAAAAATTAAATCATAGGCTATTTGAAAGCAAATAATGAGACCTTAACTGGAAAAACCTTTGGGATGTAGCCAAGCCAATAATCTAAAGACTACTTATAGTTTTAATAAATTATTAACAAAAACAATTGCAAGTATGTGGTCTAAACATTCAACTGAAAAAAGTTTTAAGGGATCAGCAAAATAAGGCTACTTTGAGAGAAGTTATGCCAGTAAAATTGAAATGAATTAGATACATTTTAGGCAAATACATATCAGCAAAATCTACCCAAGAAGAGGTAGAAAGTTTGAATAGAATATTAATCAAGAGAGAAAGAAAAGGTAATAAAAAACTTACTCTAAAAAACACATCAAACTCAAGTTATTTCATAGGCAAATTCTGTCTAACCTTCATAAACTGAAAATCCAAATGTTATATAAGCTATTCCAGAACATAGAGAAAGCTGGAAAGCTTCCAAGGCTTTCTAGAAGACTATCATAACCCTGGCAAAATACATGTGGTACAATCCTGTGTATATCATTAACAGATATACATCTATGTGTGTATGTTTGAGTGTGAATTGGAAAAATTCTCAAATTTTACCCACAAAATCATTACGAGTGGTGAATCATCAAGGTCAGCTTGTGAGGAAGGAAAATAAGGGTGTGAATTTATTTTTAATTTTATACAATTCTATACTATTTCAGTTTTTTAAAGGACATATGTCGCTTTGGTTATTTAAAAAACAATATTAAGCACTCCATTTACAGAGGCAGGCAAAGTGGATATTCTGGTTCTGTTTTCAACATTCTGCCAGAAGAAAACCAGATTTTGGGGGTTAAGGCATTTCTATTTAAGACATTGCAGTCTGGAGGAACGAGAGATTTGGGGCAAGTTGTTTAACTTTACTGGATCTCAATTTGCTCTTCTCTAAATTGGGATGATAAGTGTAATTGGCCTGTAGGATTGTTGTGAGGATTGAATACAATAATATGAGATGTTGGTATATGGCAGAAGCTTTACAAATGGTGGGCCATTTATGTAAAAGTGTAAAATACAAACTGGATTTTAAAGAATTGGTTCGAAAGAAGGAATGTAAAATATCTCATTAATTGTTTATATTGATTACATGTTGAATGGATCATTTGGACAATTATTGGGCTAAATAAATTATTTTTGTTTGTTTAAGATAGAATCTCGCTGTAACACCCAGGCTGGAGTGCAGTGCTGATGATCATAGCTTACTGCAGCTTTGAACTCCTGGGCTCAAGTGAACCTCCCGCCTCAGTCTTCTGAGTAGCTGGGACAACAGGCATGCAACACCACACCTGGCTAATTTTTTAATGTTTTGTAGACACAAGGTCTTAGTATGTTGCCCAGGCTGGTCTCAAGCTCCCAGCCTCAACTGATCCTCCCACCTCATCCTCCCAAAGTGCTGGGATTACAGGTGTGAGCCACTGCTCCCAGCCAATAAAATATATTATTAAAGTGAATTTCACCTGTTTCTTTGTACTTAATGTGACTACTAAAATATTTAAAATTATGCACACAGTTTATACTACATCTCTATCACATAATGCTGTGTTAACCACCATTGTGGCAAACTTTATATTCTCCAGTGACGGGGAACTCACCACCTGTAGAGAAAAGGCAACTCCAGTTTCAAGGAAACCCTTCCTTATATTATGTAAGCTCCTCCTCCTTCTGATCTTTCCTCATGGATCCTGGCTCTGCCATCCTGAGATACGTATAGCAGTCCCTCCACGTATAGCATAATGTGGTTGGGTCAGAGGCTAGACATTGAGCACTCCTGAGTCCAGCCTCAGCTCTCTCCTATCTCCTAGGAGACCTGATGCAAGAGACTAAACATTCCCAAGCCTCAATTTCCCTATCTGTAAAATGGGAATAATACCTACCTGATATGGTAGCTTTGATACAAAGAGAAAATATATACAGTCCAATAGTGTGAATAGGCTGTAAATATTTTTGCCTGAATAGCAATCACATTTTCATTAACCATTCGTCCATTGACGAACACTTAGATTGATTCTGTAGCTTTGCTATTGTGAATAGCAAATACGTCTACAGCCGAATATGTATGCAAAAGATCTTCACAGGAAAGCTGGCAAAAGACAATTTATTCGAAGGCACTTGGAGAAGGATGAAGCGCACATAACCCTAGGCAGAGCACTGGTGCAGGTCGTGAAAGCTGCATGGAACTCTGAGAGCTTCCAGCATTTTTTTTAATGTGTTATGAGTCTCACTTAAGACCTCGCTTTGCTTTGCCCTTGTTCCAGTTTTGAGGTCAGTCCTCTATCTTCAACACACCTCCAAAAATCAAGATCCCTTTTCTTGCTCCCTGTTTTATTAATAATTTGGAAAGAAATACTCACGGAGTCAAAGTAGGATCCATAGTTCTCCAAACTGTGCCGATTGTCATGCACGGAGAAGGGGAAGTGGTTATTCACTGCTTGCTGGAAAAGGAGGATGGTTGAGAGAAAAGGCACACGTTAGAATCCTGCATGCTTTCAAAACTGGGATAGGGTAATGTGGGAGGAAGATGGATGAGGCAATGCGGCCTCTAAGAGAGACCATTAAACCTGGCCCCAGAGATGGAACAGACACACGGGGTGGGGGGGATGTCCACGTGCTTGTCAGCACAGGGCTTTGAATCCCGACCTTATTTCCAGCTTCCTGAAAGTCATAAAAATTCTCTTTCAAAACACCTTACTTGGAGGCAAGGATGGAAAAGTGTATAGATTCATGGAGCCAAAAGCTGGGAAAGACTTTTGAGGCCGTGTAGCCCAACTCTGTCATCTGACCATTAAGGGTCCCAGGAGACCAGAGCCCTGGCCCAAGGCCTTGGGGTGACCCTGGCAGGCATGGAATGGGACCCTGGCTTCTCCTTCATGCCACTTCAGACTTGAAGTTGCTCGGGAATCAGCCGGGGAGGCGGGAGGTGCATGTTAGTGAACTGTGGGCTGGAAGGGGAGGTTGCTTCTTGTTTGTGGAAGAGCTAACTTGATTGTCTGTAGCAGGAGGTAATTCCTTCTGGAGAGCACCAAGGTACGGGTGGGGAGAACACCAGCCCTTAGGAGTCCAGGGATAGTACATGCACAGTCTCTTACAAGGAAGAATTGTTTGGCCAAACCTGCCAGCGGCGCTGCCCCCTCGGAGATCCACAGGAGCACGTGGCTGTGGTCAGTGATCAGGACTCACCTTCTCCCGGACTTTGTATATGGGCGGCAGCTTCCCCTCCACTTGCCGAGACAAGTGCGGGCGATGGGGCTCTTTTAACGTAGCACTGGTGATGGATTCTGGTGTCTTTTGCGTTAGCCCGATGTGAGGGAACTGGAAGAACAGCACACGCCTTGATTAAAACCAGACACATCTGAATCCACAAGCCAAGTATCAGGGCTTCCTCTCCACAGTGATTAAAATGCAATTTGGATGCTTTTGGCATGCAATGGAAATGGCATAATTTTTGTAATTTTCAAGTATTCTTTCCAAGACAAAAAACATTGTGATGGCCCAGAGCCATCACTGCCGGTTGTTTCAAGTTACAGAGGCCACCCCTGCTGTGCTGGCACCTGGAAATGCTTCCAGAGCCTGGGAAGGAGGGTGTGTTCCTCAGAGAGTGAGCAGACTCATTCTGAGAAGACAGAAATGTGTTATTCGAGATCCTTCCTGCGGTCAGGTAGCTCCCAGTACTGGGGGCCTAGGAGCCAACCCACGTTCCTGGCAGCGAGCCAGCCTCCAGCAATGTAGGCATGAGGTGGCCCTAAGGCAAGGGGAAGGAGAGGAACAGAGTCCCCAGTGATTCTCCGCTGGTAATGTGGGATGATAGAGGGGAGGTAACATCTAGGAGGGAAAAAGAGGGGGTAGAAGGGTGTGAAGCAAGAAAAGTGAGGACAGTGAGGATTATCCTTTTTTTTTATTTATTTTCTATTTTTATTATTATTATTTTTAAAAGGCTACAGCCCCCAGTATTCCCAGGTGGTCTCCCATCCAAGTACTAAGCAGGTCTGACCCTGCTTAAGCTTCTGAGATCAGAAGCGTTCAGGGTGGTATGGCCATAGACAGCAAGGGTTATCTAGAATGTGTCCTTTTGATCTCCCAACAAAAGCCTGGGAAGGAAACAGGACTGGGCAGAGGGAGGTAGTCCCAACAAGGGCCTCTGTTGACCCAGCTGGGAGCTCTGGACATAGGGTGACCCCTCAGATTTGAGGAGAGGGGACCCAGTCTCTGTGCACCCTAAGCAATGAGGCATTGGATTGATTTCCTGGGCTGGGGGTGAGCCCAGGGAGGCAGCTCTCTTCAGCCAGCGGATCCCTAGGGGTGGGCAGTCAGGGTCACACCCCAGCAGCCGGAGTGATGAGTCTTTCATTCCTGGAGGGGAGTGTGGCTGGCTCTTGATGGCGAGAGAAACTCACCCCAATTTTATTTGAATGGCACCTCTTTAAAGCCACCCTAACAAAGTGAGCTCTGATGCAGGACTCTCTAGGAGGAAATAAATGGAAATAAAAGACAAAACCCAATTCAATGAAAATTCCCACAAAGGGAGAAGGAAGCTTAATGTGGTTGGGTCAGAGGCTAGACATTCAGCGCTCCTGAGTCCAGCCCCAGCTCTCTCCTATCTCCTAGGAGAGCCTGATGCAAGAGACTTAACATTCCCGAGCCTCAATTTCCCTATCTGTAAAATGGGAATAATACCTACCTGATATGGTAGCTTTGATACAAAGAAAAAAGGTATACACTCCAATAGAGTGGAGAGTTTGCCAATATTTTTGCCTGAATAGCAATCACATTTTCATTAACCATTCCTCCACTGACGAACACTTAGATTGACTCTGTATCTTTGCTATTGTGAATAGTGCTGCAGTAAACATGCAAGTGCAGGCATCTCTCTGATACATATTTTTTTATTTTTATTTTTTATTATACTTTTTCTGGGGTACCTGTGCAGAACATGCAGGTTTGTTACACAGGTATACACGTGCCATGGTGGTTTGCTGCACCCATCAACCTGTCATCTACATTAGGTATTTCTCCTAATGCTATTTCTCCCCTAGCCCCTACTTCCCAGCAGTTCCCGGTGTGATGTTCCCCTCCCTGTGTCCATGTGTTCTCATTGTTCAACTCCCACTTATGAGTGAGAATATGGGTGTTTGCTTTTCTGTTCTTGTGTTACTTTGCTGAGAATTATGGTTTCCAGTTTTATTCATGTCCCTACAAAGGACATGAACTCATCCTTTTTTATGGCTACATAGTATTCCATGGTGTATATGTGCCGCATTTTCTTAATCCAGTCTATCTTTGATGGGCATTTGGGTTGGTTCCAAGTCTTTGCTATTGTGAACAGTGCCATAATAAACATACGTGTGCATGTGTCTTTATGGTAGAATGATATCTAATCCTTTGGACATACCCAACAATGGGATTGCTGGATGATTTATTTTTTTAGTAGATACTTAGTAGTAGGATTGCTGGATCAAATGGTAATTTCTCTTTTTAGTGTTTCGAGAAATCTCCATACTGTTTTCCATAGTGGTTCTACAGGTTTACATTTCCGCCAAAAGTGTGTAAGAGTTCCCTTTTCTCCCCATCCTCGCAAACGTCTGCTATTTTTTGTGTTTTTAGTGATAGCTATTATCACTGGGATAAGATGATACCTCATTGTGGTTTTTATGTGCATTCCCCTGATGATTACTGATGTTCAGCATGTTTTCATACACCTGTTGGCCATTTGTATGTCTTCTTTAAATTTTTTAAAAATTTTATGTATACATAGTAGATGTATACAATAGATTATTATTGACTGTAGTCACCCTGTTTTGCTATCAAATACTAGATCTTATTCATTCTAACTATATTTTTGTTCCATTTTCCATCCCCACTTCCCCCACCAATACCCTTCCTAGCCTGTGATAAGCATCATTCTACTCTCCACGAGTTCAACTGTTTTAATATTCGGCTTCCACAAGGGAAAGAGAACATGTGAAACGTTTGTCTTTCTGTGCCTGGCTTATTTCACTTAACATCATGTTCTCCGGTTCCATCTACGTTGTTGCAAATGACAGAATCTCATTTGTTTTTATGGCTGAATAGTACTTCATTATGTATGTGCACCACATTTTCTTTATCCATTCATCTATTGACAGATGCTTAGATTTCTTCCAAATCTTGGCTATTGTGAACAGTGCTGCAATAAACATGAGAGTGCCGATATCTCTTCAGTATAATGATTTCCTTTTTTTGGGCATATACCGAGCAGTGGGATTGATGGATCATATGGTAGTTCTATTTTTAGTTTTTTGAAGAACCTCTATACTCTTCTCCATAGTGGCTAATATGGTTTGGCTCTATGTCCCCACACAATACATCCTGAGTTATGATCCCCAAATGTCAGAAGACGCACCTGGTGGGAGGCGACTGGATAATAGGAGTGGATTTTTCCTTTGCTGTTCTCATGGTACTGAGTGAGTTCTGATGAGATCTAATGGTTTAAAAGTGTGGCACATTCCCCTTTACTCACTGTCTCTCCTGCTGCTGTGTAAGATGTGCCTTGCTTCCCTTTCACTTTCCACCATTATTGTAAGTTTCCTGAGGCCTCCCCAGCCATGGAGAACCGTGAATCAATTAAACCTGTTTTCTTTATAAATTACCCAGTCTCAGGTAGTTCTTTATAGCAGTGTGAAAACAGACTAATACAGAGGCTGTACTAATTTATATGTCCACTAGCAGTGCACAGGTGTTCCCTTTTCTTGACATCCCCATCAGCATTCGTGAGTGTCTGTCTTTAGGATAAAAGTCATTTTAACTGGGGTGAGATATCTCATCGTAGCTTGGATTTACATTTCTCTGATGATCAAAGATGTTGAGCACCTTTTCATATACCTGTTTGCCATTTGTGTGTCTTCTTTTGAGAAATGTCTATCATGTCCTTTGCCCACTTTTTAATGGGATTACTTTTTTTGTTTTTTTTGTTTGTTTTTGTTTTACTGTTGAGTTGTTTGAGTGTCCTGTATATTCTGGATATCAGTCCCCTGTCAGATGAATAGTTTGCAAATATTTTCTCCCATTCAACAGATTGTCCATTTACTCTTTTGATTGTTTCCTTTGCTGTGCAGAAGCTTTTTGATTTAATATAGTTCCTTTTGTCTATTTTTATTTTTGTTATATGTGCTTTTGAGATCTTAGTCACAAATTCTTTGCCTAAACCAAGGTTCAGGAGAGTTTCCCCTAGGTTTTCTTCTAGGGTGTTTCACAGTTACAGGTCTTATATTTAAGTCTTTAATTCATTTTGAGTTGACTTTTGTATCTGGTGAGAGATGGGGTCCAGTTTCATTCTTCTACATGTGGCTATCCAGTTCTTTCAGCATCATTTATTGAAGAGGGTGCTGTTTCCCTGATATAAGTTCATATTGGCTTTGTCAAAGATTGGTTTTCTGGGTTCTTTATTCTGTTCTATTGGTCTGTGGATCTAATTTTATGCTAATACCATGCTGTTTTGGTTGCTATAGCCTTGTAATATAGTTTGAAGTCAGATAATGTAATGCCTCTAGCTTTGTTCATTTTGCTCAGGATTTCTTTGGCTATTCCATCTCTTTTTTAATTCCATGTAAATTTTAAGATTGCTTTTTCTAATTCTGTGGAACAAATGGCATTGGTATTTTGATAGAGGTTGCATTGAACTTGTAGATTGCTTTGAGCAATATGGTCATGTTAATGATATGTCTTCTGACCCAGGAGCATGGGATATTTTTCCTTTTGTGTCATCTTTAATTTCTTTAATCAGTTTTTTATAGTTTGTCTTATATTTTGTCTACTTGGCTAAATTTATTCTTAGATATTTTTGTAGCTATTATAAATGAAATTCCTTCTTGATTTCCTTCTTGGTTAAATCATTATTTGTATACATAAAAGCTACTGTTTTTTGTATGTTGATTTTGTATCCTGCAATTTTACTGAATATATTTATCAAATATAAGAGGGTCTTTTTTGGTAGAGTCTTTAGGTTTTTCTAGATATAATATCATATCATCAACAAATTGAGACAATTTCACTTATTTTCCAATTTGGATGCCTTTTATTTCCTTCTCTTGATTGATTGCTCTGGCTAGGACTTCTAGTACTATGTTGAATAGGAGTGGTGAGCATCCTTGTCTTGTTCCAGTTCTTAGAGCAAAGGCTTTCAACTTTACCCCATTCAGTATGATGTTAGCTGTGGGTTGGCTGTATATGGTCTTTATTATTTTGAGTTATGTTCCTTCTATGCCTAGTTTATTGAGAGTACTTATCATAAAGGGATGTTGAATTTTATCAAATGCTTTTCTGTATCTATTGAGACA